TTGTCATGAAGATATGGTTCAATGCAAACCTGGCATAACAGATGCTATTTAACGATGATATAATTTGTGGTTGACATAATGACATATATATATATATATATATATATATATATATATAATTTTTTAAAAGTTTGTATTTTATTTTTAAAAAAAACTCATTGTAAATTTCATTTAAAAAAAAAAAAAACAGTTTGCATTCAAAAGATAAAAACTAGTCATTGCACTTAGACTTTTCAATATCTTTTCTAGTTGTTTTTTTTAGATCTAAGCGTGACAGACGGACGGACAAACAGACCACACAAGACTTAAAGCGGCTTTTCCCATTTTGAAGGCCGTTAAAAACACAATCTCCCAGAACCCAAGTAATTTACCTCTTATCTGAAATGGTTAGTTACAGTGATAGGTCTAGGTTTCTTGACCCAAAAAAATGTATTTTTGCTATTCAGTTCAATGTATTCACATTCCTTGCTTCAGGACAACTGGATTGTATATACCGATTCATTTTAGTTTTCAATAGAAGTTGGTCAGTGTTGATATGGTGCGCAAAGGTGCACGCGTTCAATATAATAAAGTATCATTCTCCGCCATGACACTAATGGTTGTTGTTTGTTTATAGCTGACTGTGAACCTAGATCTTATTTAACAGTCAGTTAAACAAAATCAATTAATTGACAGAAAGACAGTTTTGATAAAAACTTTTTTCTTACACCTACTGTAACTCCAAACTTCCAAGACATTTGATTTCGACCTCGAGCTTGATGACAATACAACTGAGAACACACAAAGGGAAGGGGAAATCTAAAGTGTCACGTGTGCTCACACTGGAAATTACTAGATCAAGATTTGTTAGCACAATGTGATCATCCCTCACTTCAGGAACTCTCTTGATATGAAGGTCAAGTACAGAGAATTTACTTTTTGGGGGTATTCCATAAATGTTTGAAATTAAATCTTATACGAAACTCCAACTTAGCTCCGCTCTGTCACATTAATATTGAGTTCGATTAATGATTAATTGTAATTTGTTGAGAAAATTGTTGGAACATATTTTTCTTTTGAAATCACATATTTAGCCAATGGAAACTGTACAAATTTCCATTCTGAAGTCATCCTCTTAAAGACGGAAAGTGAATCGGATCTATCTTTAGCTTCGGTGTCTCATGGCAATGGCTTCCTTAACATCTTGAATTTAAGTTACGTCAACTTCGTCAAATAGAATATGTACATGACAACTACACATTTCCTCCTATCCAATCTCAAATGTTTATTGGGTTTTTTGAAGGAATGTTACAAGTTGGACTAGGATAAAGGTTGAATAGGAATAGCATAATTGATAAATTTGGATTTACATCCTGGCCAATAATATGATCTTGAGATTGTGTACTTTTTGTCAGTGTCTGTCCTTTGAACCTGAGTTAATCGGGTATTCAGGTTTTGACTACGGTTTGGGTAACTTGAAATTCGCTAAATATAAATGCAATTATATTGTGGGAGAGTTTGAAGTCTTTTTTTTTCTTTGCTTAGATGGAAAATTGATAATTTGAATTTCGTTTGCGTCTTTGAAATAAAAAAAATAAATTGCTTTCAGCGATTTTGATCGAATGTTAGTTCAATTTGGTGTGAAAACTACAGTATCAACAAAGTCTAGCCTGGTTAAGGTTATGAAACCATCTGGAATCTCACCTTCAGTTAAAAAAACATCTTCGAAACAACTTTTTGTATGCATGTCTCTTCCTACATTGGGTAGATACTAACCTGTTGTAACCCTGTCTATTCCTACATTGTCTAGGTACTGACTTCTTGTATACATGCCTATTCCTACATTGTCTAGGTACTGACTTCTTGCATACATGCCTATTCCTGAATTGGGTAGGTACTGACCTGTTGTAACCCTGTCTATTCCTACATTGTCTAGTTAAGTAGTACATTGTCTATGTTGCGACTTCTTGTATGCCTGTCCACTACTACATTGTCTAGGTAATTATCTCTGATAATCCTGCTCTCATTGTCTAGGTAATGATCTCTGATAATCCTGCTCCCATATTGTCTAGGTACTGTCTTCTGGTATTCTTGCTCCTACATTGTCTAGGTACTGACTTCTGGTATTCTTGCTCCCACATCGTCTAGGTACTGACTTCTGGTATTCTTGCTCTCACATTGTCTAGGTACTGTCTTCTGGTATTCTTGCTCCCACATTGTCTAGGTACTGTCTTCTGGTATTCTTGCTCTCACATTGTCTAGGTACTGACTTCTGGTATTCTTGCTCCCACATTGTCTAGGTACTGTCTTCTGGTATTCTTGCTCTCACATTGTCTAGGTACTGTCTTCTGGTATTCTTGCTCCTACATTGTCTAGGTACTGTCTTCTGGTATTCCTGCTCCTACATTGTCTAGGTACTGACTTCTGGTATTCTTGCTCCCACATTGTCTAGGTACTGTCTTCTGGTATTCTTGCTCCCACATTGTCTAGGTACTGTCTTCTGGTATTCTTGCTCTCACATTGTCTAGGTACTGTCTTCTGGTATTCTTGCTCCCACATTGTCTAGGTACTGTCTTCTGGTATTCCTGCTCCTACATTGTCTAGGTACTGACTTCTGGTATTCTTGCTCTCACATTGTCTAGGTACTGTCTTCTGGTATTCCTGCTTCCACAATGTCTATATAGGTTGTGACTTCTCGTATGACTGTCAGCTACCACATACTGTCGGAACTTGTTTTGCCCATCCCTCCTTTCTAGTTACAACACTATTTCTTCTCTCACGTGACTTATTTTAGAAATCTAACTTCTCTAACCCACGAAGTTATATCCATTTTTTTTACAGCTAGAAAACAAATAGCCAGCCAACTAAATACTAGTTTTTTTCCTTACTAAAAAAAAGTTATTAATTTAAAAAATGTGTATGTGCCACCCTTCCTGTTCTTTGGTCTCTAAACTAGTTGTACCCAACCATTTTCTCCACGCGGTCATAAAATCGCTGAACTTGCTCTTCATTCTAAGAAAATATTTCTGATGTACTCTGTACATTTTTATTTCAGAAAAAAATATGCCATCAATCACTGACCTACTATCATTGCATTTTAGATCGATCAATTTCCAATCCATCAATGAAGTATGTGCGATCAGATCAAAAAGGTTTAGAATTATTCAGAAATATGGTAATAGCCTCGACTAATTTCAAAGTTCAAAGTAGATCTAGATCTTAAAATATATTTTTCTACTACTGACATGTTAATGTTGATTGGTACTAAATGGTTCACATTGAAAGCTGATTTTTTAATTTTAAGGTCTACCAGCATTACCCACCGGCTACGCCCGTTGATTTGTTCCCAGCCTATAGATTGTTGATTTGGCCAAGGACCCCTCCCATTCTTTTCTTACTTATAACAATAGAATGCTATAAAGTGAAATGCTGCCACGTGCATTCCTTTGGCCAGTTAATTCTAGTATCTATCACATTGAATAGGACCAGCCCGTATATTCGAGTATCACCCCCACCCGCAACATCCTTAACAAATAGGGTCTAGTGTTATTTACACTATGTAATTTTTCTTATGATTTTCAGTTTTCAGTTCTTATTCGAACTATTTCATAGCCTCTAAATGGCCTCTAGGATATTTCACTGGCGTTGCTCATGTTTTCTTATTACACCCTGCAAACGCTCACATAAAACTTTGGCTGCACTTCCAACCTTATTTTTCTGCACTTTTAATAAAACTGCCCGCATTTTACCCCTCCCTCCCCCCCAACTTGATCAATGTATGTTGCGTTGAAGCGACCCGCTTTAATTCGCCCTACCAGCCACACTCAATTTTGGCCTGTGAATTCTATATCACTTTTTTGGACCCCCCCCCCCCTTTTTTTGTTTTTCACCCCACGTTGAATTTTAGTATCTGTTACATTTAATTTGCACGACCTGCTTTATCCCCTCCCAAACATGTATTTTTTGCTTACCAATAGCACTTACCCCCCCCCCCCCGCCCCCATTATACGCCTTAGAAAGTAGTACTACATAGTACATACAATATATGAGTAGGCCCTATACATCGACTTGTTAGCCTGTGAATTATTGTATCGCCCCGCTTTCTTTCTTTCTCTTTCTCTCTCTCTCTGTAACCCAGTTTTAGTTTTGTTTTGATTTTTTACCCTGCTCATCATAATGTTCTCTGACATAGATTTTTAACTTGATTTGGAACGACCCACTTCATAATGACCCTCCCCACACGACACACTCATGCACACATATTTTGCATGCTTTTGTCCCGTGAAAACTAATATAATTTTCATTCCTCCACTCTTGTCTGGGATCTAAATATACTGCATTCAACATATACATAGACATCTAGATGAAAATAAATATAATCAATAGAGAAACCCTCTACAAAACTCAATTGAAACGGATATGATCCTTTTAGGCCTTTGGTCTGTTTCTGCTTTAAGAAAAACGCTGAGTAATTCTACGGCGCGTGGATCATGTGATATCACGTGACTTCATTCATTCAAGTGACTTCAAGTGTGTGATTCAACCAATCACACTAGTCTCTATTGTACATTGTATACAAACACCAGGAACACGGGATTACCATTTCTCATATTATCTCAATTGAACTTTGTTCAAATAGTTCAAATTTTTAGCAATATGTGTATACAGTTAGGGCCTACTTTTTTTTTCACAAGGACAATACGTTATATTTATTTGCCTACTAATTATATTATGACATCACGCTTAGTTTTTTGTAAATAAAGGAAGCTTAGCTGTCAGACGTTTTCTGAGCCATTGTGAATTTTCACGCTTCAATGTTAATCTCGGTAATTTCTTTGTTCACATTTTGATTTTTAAAATCAGGTCAACATTTTCAAAACGACAATCAATAAAATAAAATAAATATAAATAAATCAATATAGAAAAATATGGGGCGATGTAATGGAACCTAAAGAAAAAAAAAGGTAAGGAAATCAAAAGAGGAAAATGAAAGAGATTTAGAACAAAAAGAAGCAATGTTGTCGACTCTTTCATTTAAAGATCACTGCTACCAACTAAACATCTCAAGAATGACTGCTGATCTTCCTATCAACTCTAGCTTAATACCGCTGATTATTTTCACATATAAAAAAAAAAGTTTTAGTTGCGCCATTATCAATGAGCAGACTCGTATGGTTCTTCCATATTGATAGTCCACTGAACACGTCATTTCTTGATAGGAAGGCTTTTCATTTTAATCCAATGATAGTAGCTAGTAAGTCAAAGTAAAGTTCCCCTTTCAGACCTTGTGGTCTATAGGGCAGAAGACCTTTTTATCAAATGATAGAGGCTTACCATTTTAACTAGCTGATAGGAGACTTACCATTTTACATTTTTGATAGGAGGCTTACCTTTTTAATTAGTTTATATGAGGCTTACGGTTATTTGATGGCTTGCTGGTTGGTAGGAAGCTTTCCAAGTTAACACCACCGATAGTTGATTGACATGTGTAGATGGTTTTCATTGTTTTCAAGCTTCTGAAGGGGCAATTCTTCAAACATTATGAACATTATGAATTCCTTGTCCTAAAATAAATGTCTGTTTCATAAAGTATACATTATCAGGTCAGGTTGAACCTCATATTTATCACTTAAGTCTAGTTTCATTCATAAAGTCTTCCTTATAACAGTTTGTATGTTTGTCTGTTTATGTTATCTGTTGACCAAATGTGTACACAATCTTACAAAAACTTTACTTGAAATAAAATAAAGCACTGAGGCTCTTGGTTAATTTCGTTATTTAAAAAATCAGTTTCCCCACCCCCTCTCTCCCATTCACAATCATAGCTACGTACACTAATTACGTTCACTTTAAAATTAGATATTGATTTTTTTTTTCTCAATCACATTCCAAGACTGAAGAAATGAAAACAGCAGCCCGTCCCGAATAGGAGTAAATAGGGTTGATATGTATCTAGTGCTTCCGCTGTTTTTAAAAATACCCAAGTCTGGGTACTTAGACTCATAAAATTATGCAAATTCTGTTTTTCTTATTGAATCTGTGTTTGCTAAATGAAACTTCTAAATTTTTCTGCTCTGCCTTTAGCCCGTTCAACCGCTGAGGCACCACACATAATATGCCAACCGTCTCTGTCAGTGTCCATTCATCGATTTCTGAAAAACATGACCACGTATGAGACACAATCCTCATATCATGTGAGAAAAAAAAACCTAGATGAGAAAACGCTAGTGTTATGTCATTTTCTGTTGTAGCAACGGAATGACACGACAAACATTCAAACAAACAATTAACGAAAGTTTCAGTAAGGTTGTTAGGCCATAGAATCTCACACATTTGCTCCCTCCGAGACAGTTTAGGCCTCTATGTATTTCTATCTTGTCCACGTCACTACATGTCTAACTCTGAACCAAGAGACCGTCACACACACTCCTAGCTGAAGATCCACTAGCCTCAGAAATTACGTCCCATTCATAAATTTCTTTAGTTTGTGTCATGTGTGTGTGTGTGTGTTTGGTTGAGTGTGTTATTTTTTCATTGACTTGTAAGTTTGAAGCAAGTCTTTAGAACGTCACTTTGTGTACCTATGACGGATGTTTTATTCCTGGTGTATTTTTAACTACACACATGCCAAATGATGGCCTGCATATACTTTTTATCGTAGGGCTGGTGACCAATACTTTTTATCGTAGGGCTGGTGACCAATACTTTTTCTTTTGTATTTAGTTCATTAGCGTGTATTGGACCCCCACATGAACTTGTAGTAAATAGATAGACCGCGTCTCTCTCTCCCGCATTACTTGTTCATGTTCCGGGATAGTAATTGTCAGCCAACTAGAGAATTTGCTACCTAGACTGGAGGTTTCAACTTAAGGACACGGTCGTACTTCCGGTAGGATAACTCAAGTCTACATTTGTCACAATATACGATTGGAGTTCCGGATCATTAAATTAACTAGGACTCACCTGAAGCAAATAATTATGCTAAAAACATTTAAATAACTCCAGTCTTCTATTGTAAAAAGTGTTTAGATATAAATATTGTTCGCATTCAGTCTCAGTGGGCCTTGATGGCGTCAAACAGAAATTGTCATCAAGATATGACAAAGTTAAGAGATCTACGAGACGCGCTACAGATACCAACTTCCTCGTTGTCCGAAGATGATTGTGCTGTTACGTAGATGTATCATCTAGACAATCTGTTCCCCCCCCCCCCCCAAAAAAAAATATTTAATTACAATTTTTGAAATAGTTTTAACGTAAAATGCTTTAGCGGTAATGTCTTCGAGTCCAAAGATAAAGGATGAGTGAAGTGTTTCACATGACCACACAAACCCAGTTGCTACCGACATATTTTTTGGCCTTTCGTGCAGACAAAGCCATTGTCCACCGGAAGTTGTTATGACATCTTTACAATAAACCAGATGAAAGCATTCCTCGCTACTGGTATACAAAGTCTAACTGAAAACACGAGTTCACGTTTTGAAGTTAATATAAAGTTTGGTATAAAATTAAGAATTAAGAATATTTCTAGGGGCTTTTTAAAAAAATCATCTTTTACAAAAGTTCAATCTTATTTTTTTCTTTGGTGTCATACTTTAGAGCTCTTGTAGGCCCCAGTTGGTTGTTAGTCAAGCGAAATGAGTCGGTTCGCGGCTATGGGCCCCTAATGGACATGTGCCCGGGTTCATTGAACCCCTTCGCGCCATGGATGCTACGCCACTGAATTAGAGACGTTACTTCAAACGAGAAGAAATGTTTATATTTCGTGCTAAAATATGCACAACAAATTATCGTTTTATTAAAACAAAAAATACATCTTATTAACACTTCCTTTATTCTGTACACCGGAAACACCAAAAAGCTTGCTATTTATGGATTGGGCTCCGTGTATGATAATCTCAAACAGCTTAAGTCGTGTAAACAAAGTTTTTTTTAAAGATAAAGCTATGACGTCATTACCATGACAATGAAATGCATCAATTATGCAAAAAATAATATGGAAACTACAGAATAACAGAAAAAATAACATGTCATATTTTTTTCAATAAATAATACATGTAGGCTTTTATTTCTTAGGTTGTAATGATTGTCATCAATCATATGGCAATCGGAACACGTTTCTCACAGAATTTAAATTGGCGTTTATGATTTTCTTTTTGTTCACCCACGCTTAATTTCAACACATCAGAGCGCAATTATATTGGTCCTATTACTCGAATAATTAGTGTTTTAGTAATGGCCAATGTTGGACTAGTCCGTTTCGTTTCTTTGATTAAAAAGTTGAATCACAAATTGGGCCGGAAGTCGCTTTTTTCCTTATATATCTTTGTATTTTTCATTTCTCTTTTTAAATTAAACTGACATTATACTATAATTTTAAGTGTACCTGATAGAGGAAAAAATTCTGCACAAAAATACGGGTAGTTGGGATATAACCCGATAGAGGCTATAAAAATTAAAGACCTAAAACTAGCGCGTGATACTACACATTCACAGTACTTTATTTGATGAGTATTTTACCCAAGATCTGTGTTGTTTTTTTTAGGACTAGCTTATTTCAAGTACCCGATACACAATTTCATACTCAAAATAATTGTTGAAAAAAAAATTGTAGTGATTTTAAACTTTAAATGATTACTTTAAAAGGTGTAACTCTAATCAATTTTGAATATTAGTTTGTTATGAATGTCATTTTTTATTTTGTGTCTGTTCTAGTTTCTTAAATTTTTCATGAGTAAAGGGGTCGTTTTTTCTCTTAATGGGTATACCTGATTTCTCCAAGCAGCCTTAGTAAAATATTGGTCCTAAATAATGCTATGATTATAAATGAAAAATCGCATGGCTGCATTATGATGAATATACGTGTTAGTTGAATATATTTTATATTACTAGATAACTAAAAATAACTGTATAAACAGACGTAAGTTTCATTTTTTCTTCTGTTAGACAAAGTCATATGGCAAATTTTTGTTTATATCCTAATTCTAAAAAGGAATAATAATAGAATTATACAGTAAAAATAATCACTAAGTTTTTATTTTTATTTTTAATAGTTTTGAAAGTGTAACTGATAAGATTACAAAGAGAGTTTGTGTTTTTGCTAATGTACACAAGGTACAGTCAGTCAAACTCTTCCAATCTCTTCTAATTGTTTAGCAATGAGTGTAAAAATGTAGGCTTCGATATTTTTAGCCTGAATTTAAGAAGTTACAAACTTCAAACAACTAATAAATGCCTCTTCCATAAAACTTTGTATTTAAAAAAATTAATTTATCCAATGCTGGAGATCCTGCTTGTATACTTAGGCCCTATATGAATCGATCCGGTATCATTGTATTAGTAGCAATAACCCCCCCCCCCCCCCCCAAAAAAAAAAATTAATGAAAGAAGATGGAGATATATTTTTGTGACGGTACGCACCGGTACGGAGTACCGGCACCTTTTTTCAATGTCGGGAAAAATTATTACTTTTCTTGTATTTCAACGTTAATTGTTAATTTATTAGTAGTTGAAAGTTAGGCAATCTATCACTGAGTACCGGCACCGATTATTTTTTTTTTACAAAAAAAAAAAATCACTTTATATATGTATACTTTGTATACAGCTTACTTTCAGCCGACATGTCGTATTATTAACAACACCTATATGTGAAAGTCTCAATCATTTAGAGTCTTAGACAGTCATTATTTTAGACTAGATTTAAGTAGAGTCTAGACCTAGATATAGTAAGCCTATTACTACAAAAATAAAAATAATCAGTCATTAGACATATCATTGGCAATTTTTTTATTAGGTCTAGACATTGAAAAGTAAATCTAGTAATAAAGTCTAAGTAGTAACTTATTAAATAAGTAGAAGTATTGTAATGAATGGAGGCGCGGTGGCTGAGCGGTAAAGCGCTTGGCTAGCGAACCGTGGTCGGGGGTTCCAATCCTGGTGAAGACTGGGATTTTTAATTTCTGGATCTTCGGGCGCCCAGCTCTAATGGGTACCTAACGTTAGTTGGGGAAAAGTAAAAGCGGTAGGACGTTGTGATTTTCACATGACATCGTAAACCGTAGGCCACAGAAATAGATAACCTTATAGACCACAAG